ATTATACGTTATAATATGGTCATTGTCTTGTCATAGGCGCCAAATGCATTCAAGCGTCAACTTCATCTTTAAAGTAGTCGAATGAGAAACTAATAAAGCACTAATAATAGCACAATTTCACATTTTATAAGGCACGCCATTGTAAAGTCTATAGTGGTGTTATTCTTAAGAAGTGGTAAGCCAACATCAATGAGAATGTTCAGAACAATTCTTGCAAATGGAACAGTTTCCACAAGTATTGATCAATTGCCGAAAGCCAATTACATGATAAAATTGGTAAGGAGTGGGTGTAACAATAACTACCCTAAAAGGATGATTCTGTAGCAATTTTCAGAAATGGGACGACAGTTTAGCGAAGAAAGCAGATGGATTTGGTTGTAATGACTCCGTAAACGCGACTGTAAAATATCCTGCTGGAAAATCAAACATTGCTTGGATAGAAGGGGATAGAGCCAAGCTCGGGGAAGAATATCGTGCAGTTGCTGCCGTCCGTTCATTACAGATTTATCAAATTGTGTTTTTGCAAATAATTTAACGTTTAGGCTGTCCACGAGTGGTGGAACCCAGTGTATACATCAACTCTCTCCGGTCGTAACCTCAGAGTTACTAAAAAACTTTATAAAGAACTTCCAAAGTTTGTAAAGGTGAGGGAGTTTTAACTAAGAAAAAAGGACTTTATGAGTGAATAGTGATATAATATGCACATATTTGACAGATCGCGTTTGCATACAACGAGAAGGTTGGCTGTGCAGTTAATTCATGTGATGATAAGGCACTTGTCAGATGCATCTACGATTATGTGTACTATTTTGACATTTCGTTAAAATCTCCACTAAAATGAAAATGTTGATTTTGCAGGCCGACTGTAAAGACTATGCCGCTTTATGTGAAGGGTAAAGTATGCGAGTTGTGCACGGAAACTGGAGAACGTTGTGAGGCGTCACTTTGTGTAGTTGAAGATGAAGAAGAAGAAGAAGAAGAAGACTAGATCATTTTTTAAAATTCATCAATTCTAAGATGGACAGACTTTTATAAACATGCTTACATTATATCTTTCGCTACCGAATATGGGAAGACAGATGCTGTCTTTTGAGTTATTATAAAACTGACTTTTGAATAGTACTCTCCACTTTTAACAGATATTACTTTTTAGTGTTAAAAAGATAAGGAACCAGAATATGAGTTTCCATTTTTTACAATTTTTGCTCAGATGAACTATTTTAAACGAATAGTATTGAAACAAAATCGACATATACCATGAAGCATAAATAGGAGGATTTTAATTTTGCCCTAGTTATCTGCAGTACACCTTTCTTTAAAAAGTCATAGAGTTTGTCTTCTGAT